TATCATCAACATAAATTTGAACTACTAATAAATTTTTACCTTTTCTCTTTAAAAATAATGTAGTGTCAACCTTCCCTTTTGAAAAACCTTTTACAATTAAAAAATTTGACAATCTTTCATACCAAGCTCTAGGAGCTTAATTTAAACCATAAAGTGCTTTTGTCAATTTAAAAACATGATTTGGAAATTTTGAATCTTTAAAACCAGGAGGTTGTTACACATACACTTCTTCTTTTATAAAACCATTTAAAAATGCTCTTTTAAAATCCATTTGATATAATTTAAATTCATTGAAACATGCAAATGCTAATAACATTCTAACTGCTTCCATCCTAGCTACGGGAACGTATGTCTCATCAAAATTTGTTCCTTCTTCTTGAGTATAGCCTTGAGCAACAAGTCTAGCCTTGTTGCTCACTATATTACCACTTTCATTAAGCTTATTCCTAAATACCCATCTAGTACCTATAGTAGATTTATTACTAGGCCTTTTAACTAATGTCTATACTTTACTTCTCTCAAATTGATTTAACTCTTCTTGCATAACCATTATCCAATTGTCATCATCTAATTCTTCTTGAATATTCTTAGGCTCTATGCATGAGATAAATGCAACATAATTACATATATTTCTAAGAGAAGATCGAGTTGTTACCCCTTTGGATGGATCACCTATAATTTCACCATCCTTGACATAATTGTATTCTCTTGGATAAGATACTTCCCTTTCTTCAATGGTTGGATTCTCGAGAACATCATGAGTTTCCTCATCTTTCACTTCTTCCTTTGATGATGATTCTCCAATGTCATGTCTAACATCATGTGTGTTCATAATACCTACATCATCATTTACACAAGAATCCTTCCTCGGAAGGGGATTATCATTGAAAAAAACATTTATAGACTCTTCTACAACTAAAGTTCTTTTATTAAATACCCGATAAGCTTTAAAATTTAAGGAATAACCCAGAAAAATTCTTTCATCACTTTTAGCATCAAATTTGCCAAGATTTTCTTTACTGTTGTTTAAAACAAAATATTTACATCCAAAAGGATGAAAATAACTAATGTTAGGCTTTTTATTTTTGAAAAGTTCATATGGAGTTTTCTTTAAAATTGGCCTAATCATTACTTGGTTTATAACATAACAAGCGGTATTTGTGGCTTTCGCCCAAAAATATTTTGGCAACTTGTTTTCACAAAGCATGTTTCTAACCATTTCTTCTAAAGTTCAATTTTTCCTCTCAACAACTCCATTTTGTTGAGGGGTTCTACGTGCTGAAAAATTATGGCTAATACCATTAGAATTACAAAAATCAGTAAATCCAAGATTTTCAAATTCAGTACCATGATCACTCCTAACACTAGTTATGGAGTAACCTTTTTCGTTTTGGATTACTTCTGAAAACGTGATGAATTTTTCTAATGTTTCATCTTTAGTACTTAAGAATAGAACCCAAGTATATCTAGAATAGTCATATACTAATACAAAACAATATTGTTTTCCACCCAAGCTAGTAGTCCTATTTGGCCCAAAAAGATATATATGGATCAATTGTAATACTCTACTAGTTGATACATCATTAATGGATTTAAAGAATTATTTTTGATGTTTTCCTTTAGCACAAGCATCACAGATTTTATCTTTATCAAATTTTAGTTTTGGCAACCCTCTTACTAAATCTCCTTGAATTAGTTTTTTTTTTTTTGTAAAACACTCATGCTAGTATGTCCTAGTCTCTTATGCCATAACCAACTATCATGCTCATCTTTAGCAACTAGGCATAAGTTAGTCATATTTATAGAATCTAAATGCACCATGTAAATGTTTCCTATTCTATGACCAATAAGCATAATCAAAATAGATGCAACGTCAATCAATTTTGCGATCATTTAACTTGAAATAAGACATTGCATCTTTTGTCAAATTTATCTAATCAGATTACGCTTTAACCCATTCACATATAAAACATTATGGAATTTTGATTATTGAAATTAAGAGCATATACATAAAGTTTTAAAGATGTTATGCATTAAAAGTTGATATCATTAAAAATTTGAATTCTATGCATAAACATTAAAAAATTAAAGGTCAATTTTGAAAAACCAAAATGTTTGAAAAATTGATATAAAATGTTAAAGAGATATCATTTACATTTAAAAATAATTTTGACCAAAAATTATTATGATGAACTAAAGTTATGAAAAATTACTGAAAATTTAATATGCTCATCATAAAGCATCTTTCAACATACATGAGATAAAACATAATTATTTAAAATTTAAAACTCATGCATGCATATACAAAATGAGTAATCAAATAATTAAAGTTGTAACATTAAGTTTAGAGATTACTCATTCCTTTTTCAAATGTGGCTAGAACATTTGAATATATCTTCTTTCATCATCATAGCTCCCACACACTTACAAGAGACATTTATGTTGATTTCGGTATCCAAATTGCTTTGGATCTTTGAATATTAGTTTCAATGCCCCTTGTTCCTTTTGGAATCCATACTTGTCTAATTTTAAATCGTTTTCCTTTCTTTAAAGGACAAGTATGTTCCTTATGACCATGATAATGACAATGTGAACATATTTTCATTATTGAACTAGCTGAATTATTTAAAATAATCTCTTTTTCTTTTGTTAAGCAGTCAAGCTTAACTTTCAAATCAAAATTTTTTTTTTCCATACTTTCAAATTTCATTTTTGAAAGCTCTAAATCCTTCTTTAATATTTCATTTTTATTTTCAAAATCCATTTTAGTTCCTAGAAGAAGTTTGTTTAATTTGAAAATTTCTTTTTCAAAGTTTTCAGATTTCATTTTTGAAAGCTCTAACTCCTTTTTCAATATTTCATTTTGATTTTCTAAGTCTAGTTTAGCTTTCAAAAGAATATCATTTTTAGCTATAAATTTAGAAAACATTTTCCTATATTTGGAGTTCATGGTCTCAAACTCCAAAAATAATTCATCATAGGCATCTTGTAACTCATTAAAAGAACATAAATTTAATTTATTTGAGTTTGAAGATACCTTGGGCTCTTCTAGAGCTAATAGAGACATCACCAGAATTTGTTCTTCTTTCTCGTCTCTATAGATTTCCTCAAGCTTATCCCACAGCTCTTTGGCGTTTGAATAAGAAGAAACTCCTTTGTAGATTTATGGATTAATTGCACAACATAGCATGTGCATAGCCTTTGTGTTTTGTTGAGCTTTCTTCCATTCTTGATCACTCCACTTCTTTACCTGCTTCGTAGGAGAAGAATATCCTTTCTTGATTATCATCCAAGCTTTTCCATATCATGTGCTTGGATAAATATCATCATGAACCTCTTCCAACGATGATCATTCGTTCCATTGAAGTAAGGAGGTACGTCAATTGGTCTGGATTCCTCCATGGAGAATAAACCGGAAGTGGACACCATCTTTATCGATTTAACTCTTCCTGAATCGACTCAAGAGATGGTTAAATCTTCAAACGAGTGAGGCTCTGATACCAATTATTGAGTTAATCGATCGACGAAATAGCCAAGATGGGGTGAATTTGTAATTAAAATTTTGGTTGAAGCTTTTGCAGAAAATTAAAAATAATTGTACAACGATTTATAGTAGTTCGAATTTCTCAACCAAAGTCTACGTCCACTACCTTAGCTATCCACACTAAGGATTTTCCAACAAATTCACTAATTTGTTCTTTCTTTTGAGGACAAAGAGTAACCTTACAACTCCCTCAAGAATTATACCCCAAATTCTTGAGAACATTCTCTCCCAAAGAGAAGAATACAAATTTTGCAAACTTACAGAAAAACCTCACAAGACAAGATGTTTGCACAATTCTAGAACAAAGAAAGAACACTAAAAAATAATACAATTGAGTACAAAGCGTGTTCTTGAAAGCAAAATGAATATTGAATGAAAAATAGGCTTGAAAATGCTCAAACGATAAGTTCAAGGCTTTCTCTTTGATTCTCTCACTTTTCTTCTTAATTATTGTTGATTAATGGCTCCTAAGCTTGTTTAAATACACCTTGAATCACTTCAGAACGTTGTGGATCATTGGTGAAGTCAATAGAGCCGTTATTGAGTAATTATCATTTAAAAATCTGGTGGGAGCGTGGATGCATCGGTATAATATGTGTAAAATTCAAATATTTCGATCGTTAGTTGACCTAGTGCATAGGTACATTGGGGTGCATCGGTACACTAATTACATTCGATGTTTTAAAAGAGCCCGGAGTGCATCGATGCATGGTCTGTGCATCTGTACATAAAATGCATTCACTGTTTCAATAAAATCAGGAGTGCATCTATGCATGGGTGTGCATCGATGCATGGGTGTGCATCGTTACACAAAAAGCATTCGAATTTGGGTGTGCATTGATAAATCAAGGAGTGCATCGGTACATCCCTTTATACACTTGATTTTTGGCTCAATTTTTGTTTGAAATACTTTGTAAAGATTGTTTCAAAAATATTTTAATGTTTTCAACAATCGAATGCTGAAAAATTTATTAGTATGCTGAATTTTGAATTAAATATTGAGTTGAGGTTGAATTACAAATTTATAAAGTTAAGTGTTGAAAATCGAAAGTTTAGGATAGTTTGGGTTGAAATTTATAATGTTTTGAATATTGAAGAGTTGATTTGAGTATTTTATTCAAGTGCTGGAATTTTAGTAATTAATGTACAATTATCATAATGGTGAAGAACCATTATGAATTAAAGGAAAAGTTGAGTTGAATTCTAGAAAGAATTTAAAATATGTGGTTTAATTTTATAATTGGTAAAGTTGAAGAATAATGTTGGGAATAATTATTTATGGAATTGCATAAGTGTTTCGATAAGTTTGAAGTTATAATGGAGTTATGAGTTTGGTTAATATCGATTTAGTTATCGATTTTATTTTATAGATTTTCAAATGTTAAAATAAGATTATATTAGTACGATACTAATATGTAGTTCGAACAATTTTTGTGTTATAATTTGGTATTGTCAGATTACGTTAAATCTAGCAATCTGAACGATTCGAAAGGAAGTGACAAAGCTCGTAACTAGGATTATTATATACAAGTTCTGTAGTGAGGCAAAGGTGAGTGCAGTTATTTATTTAATTATTTTGATCGATTACGACTTGCGATAAGTCAACCTCATTTCAATTTACAGCATAATTTATAAAGTTTATAAATAATATTTTTATAATATTTTATATCAGTTTTATGAATGATTTAGGGTATGAACTACCCAAGCATGATATTTTTATGATGAAGTTATTATGATACGTCAGCTCATTGTGTGTAATAGTGAGAACTGTTGGTACACTTGGCATGCCATTAGTTGAGTATTTATCCATGATCAGATTTGGTACATTCGTGTATCAATGTTATCATATCAGCTTTGGTACATTCGTGTATCAATGTCCAGCACCGTTGGTGTTTATTCAGTTATGATGGCACTGAAGTGCATCATATCTCAATATCAGTTACGATTTGCACCATGTTGTGCATAGTGCACACCTTACTCACGTATCTTATGTTCTCATAAATATGCATTGGACTATGAAAATGAATATGCAAGTTGTGAATGATTTTCAGTTGACAGAAAGCATGATATGTTTATTTTATCAAATATGATTTATCAGAATTTTCATGAGTTCATGATTTAAAATGAAATTTCAGGTCTTAGTGAAGAAATTGACTTTGATAAGTTGGTTTGTCAGTTTAATGTTTTAAGTTGAATTATTTTATTTATGTTTATGATATTTTCATATTTTTCTCACCTTATGTAATTACTACCTCACTAAGTTATACTTAGCACGTGATGATTTTCATGCGTAGGTTCTAATAAGGATAAGTACGATCAGTAAGGAGCTATCGAAGCATCATTTTGGAATGACATACATATCATCGGTATCAGTAAGACATTTATGATGTTTCTTTTGACTTATAATGGCATGTATAATTATGTCAGTAATTTCTATTTATCGTAGTTATGTTAAATAATTTGTAATAGTAAACTAAAACTATTTTAGTTTATTTTACTTAGTTTAGTTTTATCAGTATATATGCATGAAAAGAATATATTATGTTATTATGTTTTTTAAAAGATTTCATGAAAATACATTAATAAAATTACTGATTAAGAAAATTAATTTATTTTCCTGAGACAAAGAAATAAATTATAGTTGAGATATACTTTAAGATAGATTTTTGGAAGTTAGAATAAGAGTGTTCAAAGGAAACAAATTTTTAGGGAATTTCAGTTCCGTAAATATTTTTAAGTTGATGAGACATCTTTGATTCGTATATCGAGACGTATCGAGACGTATCGAGACGTATACGGATTAAGGGTATTACAATTATAGTCTAGACTCTATTAACATCTTACCACTAATCGCTAAACACTAACCACTAACTTTTTATTTATTTATTTTATGTTCGAACCGTAGTATGACCTTGCGATGATTCGCTCTGGGGTACAACTCGTATTATTTACGGTTCGGGTTAAATATTAAAAATTAACACTAACATTTTATTTTTTTACTCTTTATTTTTTACTCTTTAATTTTATGCACCTTTAAATTTATGCCTTTTAATTTTCTTTATTTTTATGCCTTTTATTTTTCTTTATTTTTAGTCCTTGCACTTTATTTTCTTTAATTTTCTGATCTTTTATTTCTATCCCTTATTTTCAGTAATTTAATTTCAATCCTTTAATTATTGCACTTTATTTTATGTCTATTTTATTTTAGTCACATGAATATATATATATATATATATATATATATATATGCACGTTTCATAGTTTTATCCTATTGAGTGCCTTATTTTGCTATATTACATTTTGGTCCTTATGTTATTTATGATTCTATTTCATTTAAGCACCCGTAATGTGTGATATTTATTTTGTTCATTGCTTTTCTCATGTTTATAATTTTGCCACTAAAATTGAAATTTTTATCATTGTTCATGATTAATTAATTTGTTTAAATATTTCTTCACCTTGCTTAGCATATTTAGATTTTAAAATTGTTAAATGTATTTCTATGCCTATTTTGATTAATTTCACATTAAATGAATTACAACATTTCTCTCAATTTATTAAGATTTATTTTTTTCTCCTTTTCCATGTAAATGTGTTTGTGCATTTAGATCTAGATGCTTCGAATATACATAAAAGCCTCATAAGCATAACTCGGCCAATTTCATAATTGGATTAAAAGTAGTATTTATTTATTTTAAAATATTAAGAAATGATTGTCTTAAAGTAACTAGATGTCTTATTCCGATATATTAAAATAAATAAATACCCTACTAGAAGAACCTAAAAAATCGAGTATGCATAACTTAAATCAAGAATAAAAGGAAAAGGAAATGTTCCTTTATTAAACTTGCCGAGACAATTCATTTACTTTTATAAGAGATTTGGTCTCGACTCTTTTAAATTATTGAACATCCCTTATTTTTTCTAATTAAATATATAATTTGGATTAATTAGCTTAATTTCTTATTTTGGTCGAATCATATTATTTAATTTTGAATTCTTGGAAGAAATTATTATATTATTTTTATTTCAATTGGAAAGAGAAATATTCGCCCTAAAGTAGTTAAGGGATTAGTTTCTCTTCGATTGGAAATATTGAAATATTTTCTATTTCTCCTTAGAATTTCCCGTTAAATAAAAATTGTAAGGTTGAATTTGGAATAATAGGATCGTAACTAAAATTTATATTTGGATTCTTAGATTTCCACTATTAGAGACAATTTATAATCGATGAGGTACCAATTTTGGTCACTGTAGGGGTGTTTATCATTCCATACGCGTAATCGAACCCGAACCCTTTTTTTATTCAAGAAATAAATTTCTGGTCAAACATAGAATTGTTTATCTTTTAAGACGATATTTTTTTAAAACTCTTTTAAAAGACAATTTTTAGGTATTCGACCTACCTAACCCAAGAGGTCGATAACGACTCCAAAACATTTCTTCACAAAATCGATTTTTTCACAATTAAGTTGAGAGTCATTCCAAGCTCAAGGGACGGCTACGAACATCAGCGTCTGCAGAAGTTTTTGAACATTAATTGTTAAATCATTTATAATCTTTAAAACATATGTTACGTTATAATCACTCCAGTTTAATAATAATAATAAAAAGCAGCTTAGAGTTGGAGTGGATCACTCTTTTTAAACAGTTTATAATGGGCATGAAACTTGAGCTTTCTCACCTAACTCACAACTAGGGTTGTAAACGAGCCTAGTCGAGCTCGAGTATTGTCGAACTCGACTCAAACTCGAAAACTTTAAATGTAAACTCGACTCGAAAACTCGCAAGATTAAATTTTTCAAGCTCAACTCAAACTCGATATAGAATATTGAAACTCAACTCAAACTCGAAAAAGCTTGAACTCAAAAAACATTCAAGAGCTCAATTGAAGCTCATTTTTGAGCTCGATTGAAGCTCGTTTTTTGAGCTCGATTGAAGCTCGTTTTTTAGCTCAATTCAAGCTCGTTTTTTAGCTCGATTCAAGCTCATTTTTTAGCTCAATTTAAGCTCGAAGGGTTTTGTTTTAATTTGTTGAAACCCATCCCCTTTTATACACTCCACTTTACCCCTTATTCCCAAGAACCACCGATGTGGGATATAACTCACATGACCAACTCAAGTTCAACCATGCTGAAAAGGCAAACGTGCGCATTTTTCCATTCCCGTTTGCTCATCATATGGCCTCTCCATTACTTTAAGAAGCCTCCGGACTTCTTCGAAATCACCCATTTCAGCTGCATCAATAGCACTCTGGCATAGGTAGTTCCTGAGAATATATTTAGGGTTCACCGAGTCCATGGAAGCTTTCCTCTCCTCATCTGAGATGCCACATGCAACAAGCTGAAGGGAAAAACGATCTTGTGAGATTTCAGCTATAATCAAGGTTATCACTTGAATAAGGGCATATTTATATGACCAAAAACCAATTATACCTCTTGAATGTAGGATTGTACCGCACAGGAGTAGCAGAGAACACAGAGTCAAGGACAGGGATAAGGAGGAGAGTAATGGGAGAGACAAAGATAAGGAACGTGAACGAGATAGGAGAGAACGTGATCGTGAGAGGGATAGGGAGATAGAGCCGTCTAGTAGAAGCAGGAGTCGACCAGAAAGAGAACGTGAGAAGAGTCGGGACCGTGAGTTTAGAGAAAGAGAAAAAGAGAGAGAGCCAAGGGAACGGGACAGAGAAAGCATGTATCCTTTCATTTCGTTATCATTTACATTTGTTCAGCTTTTGGCTTTTTTATGCATGTTTGTCTTCTTACATTTGGCTTGAGAATTGTTGTAATAGTTAACTGTAAATATTAGTTTGGTGTATATAATTATTTTAGTTTGTTCATTTTTTATTAGTAAATTTAACAGCCAGATCTCTTTCTATGTTCATTGAAGCAGTACTTGCGTACAATGGTTCAGATGCAACATAGCTTTATTTGAGATTGTACATTTACATGCCAATCTTGAGTCAAAAGAGTCTAAATTGACAGTGTACATTTACTCAGCTCGTTTACACCCCTAATTGTACCCAATAGGTCCACGCCTCCTTGTGTTCCTTGCCAATGTCTAGCAGAACAGACTTCAGTGTCACCAGCAACTCATCCACTGGAATGTCGGGATCTGCTTTGATATTGGAAAGTTCCCGAAAGAAGTTTGTGTAGTCCACTTTATCAACAGCCAAATTACCAAGAAGTTTATTAACAAGCTGTTTGTTATATTTTTGGAGGCCAAGTTTTTGGCTCTGTGTGTGCGTGAGAGGGAGAGATGGGATTGAGAGAGCTGCCGAGAGAGGCTGTTGTAGAATAAAGGGTTGTGCGGCTGTGTTTGGTATTTTGTGTGCGTGAGTTTAGTTTAGGTTTAGTTAAATTTAGGTTTCATATTAATTTTTTTGGTAAATTAAGTTATATTCCCCCAAACTTGAGCACCCTTTTGTAAATCCCTAATTTAATTCTTGATATGTATGTTGAATTTTACGTTTATTTAAATTTAGTCATTAGTTTAATATGTATATGCATGTTTAATAAATTTACAATTTGGTATGTTATATTTTAATTTTGTATTTCAATCACATTTGTTTGAATTTTCTTATTTGTTTTAAATGTTCAGGTGTCATTTATGTTATTTTCCATATTATTTTATCTTAAACCGAATAGGATCAATTGCATATAAGACCGTATAGTTTATGCGCATTTTGTATTTAATTCATTGGTTTAATTCCAATTTTCTATATTTATTTTAATCCTTGTTTAGGATTATTTTCTTTAATTAGTTGTGTATATTTATTTTGCATGTTGATATGTTTATGTATAAGTATGCAAATGATTTATTTAGGAGTCACATAACATCATTTTGCATAATTTGTATGTTACCTTTATGTGCATAACTTAAACCCTAAACTTTAAATCTTAAATTCTAAACCCTAACCCATAACACATAAACCTTAAACCTTGATCTCTAAACCTTAAACTCTAAACCCTAAACCCTAAATCTTAACACATAATTAGAAGGAATGAGATGACTTAGTGAAATGAGAGAGAGTATACTTGTTTTGATATTTTTTAAAATTATTAATATTTAAATTGAATCATTTTTTATTATATTATATTTATTATCAAATAAAATATTAGTTATGAGGTGAGTATAATATAGTATCTTGATATTAAATGCTCAAAACCTTGATATTTATGATATTTGAACTCGAAACCTCAAAATATAACAACAATTTAAAAAAGAGAAAATAACCTCAGTGACCGAAAATTCATTATAATATACGATTTTGACCAACTTTTTTTCGATGTGCCAAAATGACCAACAAAATCGCAATGCG